TTTCTATCTGCTTTCAATAGCTAGGAGAGCTCAGTGGTATATTTCTGCAATTTTTACTCTAATAACGGTGACCTCTTACTAAAGATGAATCTAACCACAATATTTAAATTCTATTTCTTTGCTTTTCACATAACGCACTTCACGAACTGTAGTAAAGCTATGGTGCTATCATGTGATCCCTTTCCATCAACATTAAACATTTTTTGCTTCTCAGGTATCGTTTTGAGGTGAAAATGTCTGTAAAAGTAAACACAAACACAAAAAGAGATTGTGAGATTGGTACAAATTACTGTGAATAGAAAAACACTATTTAGTCTCAAGTTGGCGTCAAGCATGCTCTAGCTCGCTGAATCGTTATGGGGGCAGCCGATTGCTATGATAGTGATTCCTAAATCTTCCCAACCCTCTAGATGGAGCAGAATCAAGAATGAGAAAACATACCTCCACACCGTGGGTAGATAATTCCTCAAGTGAAAGAGTTGCTATATCCAATGTAGCCACCTTTGAAGTCGTGGTAACAACACACCTCGCATCAATCATGTCAACGTGGACGCGTCTCTCAAAATCCTGCTGCACCGCAATCACAGACACTCCTGTCAGATTCACCTGACACGAAGAATGAAACGGTAGTTAAGGGCTATTTTAACTTTCAGACAACAAGGAAAGGCGGTTTTGCAGAACCGCATTAAGTTTGGTCGTCCTGCCATAGGTTCGTTTTATTCCACTCACTTTGACTTATTAAAACACCTTTGGCGGTTCTAAAGTCAGGAAAGAACGTTGTATGAAGATTTCATAGCAAACGACACTATGCTAAATATAGAGTTAAAACATTGCCTGTTGTATTCCTGTTAAGCAGACCTATCCCTCCGTGTGCACACACTCTTCGAAATGGCAAACAATCTCGAACAATTGTGCTATTATGGATTCGCCGTACACATAGACCGATTCATCTCTTGTACACCATCCCACAACGTATTGTGCGTCCATTGTGCGTGCAACATGAGGCATTCCACGTGACAGCTGGACGTTTACGGGCATGACTGTTAGCACACCACAACAGAGTTCGACACAGGCGGAAAGACGTACGGTCTTCTTTGAATTGTGTACACCACGTCTTTATTTAGAGGAGACTCAGTTCATCACGCCTCACGTGCTGCTGTAAGCAAGCACTCACCACCACCGTTGTCTGTCGTCCTGATGAAGTGTGTCTGGCGCAGTAGATGACATATGAGCGAGTCGTGAGTGTGAACTTGGAGGTCATGGCCACACACTATGGCGTGTGTTATCATTGAAGTGTTCTTCAGTGGCTCCACTTTCGAGCCACATGTTCCAGTTCGATATGAATGCCACTCTCATTTTGCTAACATGTAGAGAACTGTCTACGACACCAGCACAGGACAGGAGTCTGCCAATGCTCATGAGATCAGAATGTCGCAATAATTATTAATTTTATTTTGCAGGATTTAGCGAAACTTCGTTAAAGTTGCCTGTCATTTATGTTACCAGTCCTTTTAGCTCTTCTTCATGCACATAAATAAGCTGGCGGGGTTCAACTTGGAAGTGTGCGATAGTAGATGTACTCGACACATCGTCCCTAATAAACGTGGTAGAAAGCGATGCCTACTCACGGACAACTTGTGGCGTGTCAGTCACCCTTGCTTGGGTATCAAATGACCAAAACGCTTCCTATCATTTCCGGCATACCACACTGCAATAACTTGTTTTGCAATTTGTGGGTTGGCCGTTACACGAGGGAATCACGACCGTGTCATTGTGTTTGCAATGTGGTTTTTTGAAGAGGTCTCCAACTTCCTTGGAATTGGAGGAGCTAGCCTACATTGTGCAAGCACACCTCTTGTACTTTCTTGCTTTTAACGCTAAATAAATGCAACTCGTTCC